CTCGCGGTTTGTACCATCCTGAAGGAGGCACGGACAATAACACTCGTCTCGGTAGACGGTGTTTCGGCATGCGTAGCACATGACCGAGCCATCGTAGTCGATGATGCTGGATGTTTTGGCGGATTGAGGTGCCTGCAGCACAACCAAATAGCCGTTTTCAAATCGCCTCATTACTGACACGCTGACGCCATCCACAACCAGCTACGCCTCTGAGGCATCGGTGGTCGAAAACCTGAAGACGCCTCACCTCATCTGTCCGCAGAGGCCATGTCTCGCACCCATACAACAACACGGCCTTTACTATAGCCTGGTACACACGACCCCTTAGATCCAGTGAGATGCCTTTTGACACCAAAAGTGATGCAAATTAGCAAATGTGCTTCGAGCCTTTGAGATTCTTGCACTGACTTCATCTGACACACTTCCGTCAGAGCTAATACAACTACCGAGGTATGTAAAGTTTTCCACAATCTCCAGTCGTTCTCCTTGAATTGTAAAGGATATGTTCGCAGATGGCACGTTCTGAAGCAGGACTTTGCACTTTGAAGGTGCAAGGCGCATGCCAAATGATGGTATGATGGCGGTCAGTTTATTCAACAGGGCTTGTGCATCGTTATGTCCTTCGTAATCTGAAGGTTTAAAGACTATCGGTGGAAAACCTTAAACTATCTATCGAAAGAAAACGTACCAAACTAATTGAATTTTGAACTACCACCCGGTGAATGACAAAACGAACTGCTTTGAAGATCTATTCAAAACAGTAGAAGCACCTTGCAGCACAACAGAACTGAGAAGGTGTAGTAACGGTGTTTTCCTCAGCTTAGTTCTCCGTCTGAGCCTCCCAAGCTAGCGGTACGCGTCAAAACAACCACCAAAGGTGGACAAGGTCTATTAACGCCCAAAACGAAGTCAAAAACAGTTGTACAGCGCTTTGTATATATAGCATAAGCGGTTATAACTTTCTGGAATTTCTGACGCGTTCTGGATGCGTCATTGGCAACCGGCATTTGACCAATACTGGGTCATGGTTGGCTGTTGGGTCCAGATTGTTGACCACCGATTGTTTACCAAACCTCATCTGAAACGATGACTTCCCAATCGGTCCCAAACATTTTCCAATTCTTTGGCAATATGTTATTTACTTCGCCCTTCTTGGGGTTCGTCTGCCAGACGTATTCCTCGAGTTTCCGTCCGCTCTATGTTTCACTTGAACGCCAAATTGTCCGCAACTTGTGAAATACACCCATTTACGAGCTAATTTCGTTTGAATGGGAGACTCTACTGTATCCCTGCTAAATCCCTCGTTTATGGTATTCTGCAACTCAATATATTGCGCCGTGGGACTTTCTTTTCATTCTGATCACCACAGGGTGTTTCCACTGATCAGTGGATCACCCAACCCCTTTGATTCACAATAAAGTGTGTCCAAGTGGAAACATGTGGCCACATACGTCAAACTATGTCAAAAGCAGGTTTCCGGTTAGTCATCTGTCATGTGACAAAATGAAAGAGTAATGTGTGGTTACAAATGTTTTGAGGTCAAGTCACGTGTGATTAAATCTTAGACGAATGGACAGTATGCGGTGAACGTGTCACGTGCTTCTACACTGTGGGTAGATGGGTCGATCGATCGATAGAGGGTGTAATGTGGATTTTCAGCAAACAAACTTGTTTGATGACAATTTGCGGATCACAGAGCATGGTGCTTCTTGCGTGAATTACGCCAAAAGACAGAAATTGGGAGCTGAAATTAGCCTCGGCGACACAGAACTCCGAAACGGAACACGGACTGGGAGGTAGCATAAATTCATCCAACGACTGTCACTTTCAGCCCAACACACACTGTGAAAAAAGGATCGTTTCTTAACCTGGGAAAGTACTTATTATCCACGAATTGTTGGGATTAATGTGTAGACAATTTGGGAACACTGTAGGCAATCTAACGATTAGGCTACTATTGAAAGTTTTGCAAGAGAGCGTTCCGTCTGAATAAGCTAGCATTCCGCATCTTTTTGTCAGCGAAGGTCCACCAAACCATTGGTTAGCTCAGCGCACCCAAACATTGTAATTCAGTATTTCCTGCTGCTGCGTTCGCTTTACACGATTCCGCAACTATGACAACCAATCTTGAGTGAACTCAATTAGCGTTTAACACGTGAACTTTCCTTTCATCTCATCTCCTTCAAGTCGGCTTGCTTCGGCGGCTTCCATGAAGTGGTGGTCCATTCCTTGGGCAATTTGCGATATAATCCCTAGAATCTGTGACAGGGCCGTTAAATTTTGAAGTTTCCTGATGAAGTGTGATGTCTGAGGTTGCCATGGTGACTCTGCCCAGAATCAGTGAGAGGACCACCATCCACTGCCATGCCCCAAATAAAGTCCATGCTGAAATACTCATGGGGTAGCAAGATGAACTTTCCTTCTTGACAGTAGCACAATGTACTGATTGCCACAGTGTGGACAAGAAGATGAATATCCGGGCAAGAATAGTGAGAAGTGTTTACTCATCAACGCAGGCAGTGAATTGTGGCAGAGTGAAGAGATTGCGAAAGAGCATGAGAGAGTGAAATATTGAAATATTATGGCGGATACGATTCCAAACAGTTTCTGAGGAAGTGAGTAATTCTAACCCTTCTCAATGAAGCGATGTTAATAACAATAGTGAATAGTAAGTGTAATGTCTCAAGGGTACCCATCAATTGTGTTTAGGCTGGATTTCTCAAGGCGGAGAGACCTTGTCTGCCAAACTCTGGAAAATCATAAACCAACAGAATGACCTTGAAGAGAAGAAAAGAACGCAACTGCCGGTTCAAACTTATTCCAACTGCAAAAAAGAGAGTAAGCGCGTTTTGGGAATGCATCTGCAGTTCTAGATATGACAGATCATGATCTACCGTTACACATAAATCAGTTGCGGTTGCCACTGAAAACTGGTATGTACATTGAGACTGGTGACAAATTCGTACGGCGATTTGGCACAAAAGCTAGTCAGTTACTGCAATTAGCTATTTCACTGAAAGGCTTCTTCAACCTTGTCAAGTCGAATGAAATTTACGTTTAAACTGCCGTTTTTCGAGCACACCTAAACATTTCCCCCTCGTGTATCGATTGTTCTTTCTAGTCAACGTCACTGTTGGTGTTCGCTTACGTCTCTGAAAGACAACTTTACATCCACTGCTGTTACCATATGAGGCTGAGAAACAAAGTTACCGAGCCCAGAGGATTCTCTCTCAGTGTGGTACATTTCGCGAAAACAAAAAAGCTTCTGTGAGCAAAGTGCTCTTCAGTTAGAGCAGTACAATAACTCTGGAAAAACGCGTACTAAGGTGGATGTAGAATATGAAACCATCCACTGCTGTTACCATATGAGGCTGAGAAACAAAGTTACCGAGCCCAGAGGATTCTCTCTCAGTGTGGTACATTTCGCGAAAACAAAAAAAGCTTCTGTGAGCAAAGTGCTCTTCAGTTAGAGCAGTACAATAACTCTGGGAAAACGCGTACTAAGGTGGATGTAGTAATACGAAACCGCGAGGAAAAAGTAGAGACCAGTGAACACGGAATCCCAGGTGTTCGTTATGGGGATAACTCATGCCTCATCCTTCGGATATCCCTTACAAACAGTATTTAGTGTTTCTCAACCGATTAGGAAGTAGGGAACATCTTTCCGCTCCCGCTGCCCTTTGTCACGTTTTCTATGATGTAGAACACCAAGTAAGTGACGTTGGATAAAGAAGCATAATCGTGCACTTGACATATTCTTGAAATGTGCAGACCAGGCAAGCTGAAATCAAACATTGCAGAGTGCACATGAGGAGATTTTCTTTCCTGAAGTCGGCGTTTAGATTCATGCACGTGGTCTTCAAGTTCCAACGATGCTTATTGTCTGCTGAAATCCCCCGATAAATGTGTCTCTCATCCTCATAGGACTGTTCCATCTCTGGCCTACCTCCCTTGGACTACCATGCCAAAAATTGACCATTTGCATACCACAAGTTCTCGATTGCGCTCGGTTGCCGCTCGCGGTTGATAGCTCAAAACGAAATATTTTCATCTATCTGCTTGGCTGTCCGGTTTACCTGATGCCATTTCGTGCTAATTCCTCATTCCTGTCGACTGCTTTCCATCGTTCGGTGTTTTTTATTATTAAAAACAACGTTATTGTCCCCGAGAAATACACTAATTTGCAAATCAATTTGGTTTTTACGAGAGACTCAACTGAATCTCTCGTTTATGATATTCTACAACTGAATGTGCTGCACACAGGCCGCCTCATGTTCCAGTTGGCGATCATAAGGTTGATGAAAACTCGAGGACTGCGCCTACCTGATGAGCCCCAAGAAGGGCGAAACCGGTCGTGGACTGTCCAAGAGTTTTCAGAAACCTTGTGAGTAGTTTCCTTTATGACAACGTTATTGTCCAGTTTGTTTGGAATCGAAACTCATCCGTTCATGTCTCTTCGATTGGTTAACCACTGCTACTTTGTGGTGGCATGCTCCGTTTCACATCAAGGCTATCCACACCAAAAGGGTTCATTCATCATGGTACTTATGCTTTGCAGTATGTGAGGTAGTCTTGGCTGTACTCCATGGTAAGTACCACCGCGTTGTCCGTTTATCTTTATTGATGTGTCGAACGGTCTGCTACATGATATATTGTTCTGAATCCTAGTTTGCTGTATTTTTGTGGTCCAACCGACCCACTCTGAAAACCTGTCAGGCAGGTTGGACTCAGAATTCAGAATTCTCAAAACCTACTGAGACCCCAACAAAATCGAAGTAGGGAAGCCGTCGATCACGTGGACCAGAAAAGCCAGCTACCAATTAGACGCGCAAGTAATCAGTCGATTCGCAAACGACCGGGGATGATGAGTGTTTAGGCATGTCATAAAAGCAACTGCCGACCAGTCACCCAGCGGACAGACTAAGTTCAAGGTCATAAGTGCGTTTTAAATAAAGCGATGCTCACTGTAATTACTTTGCATTCGCTTGTTCGCAATAAGGCTGATGTGTTCCCTGTTGGTGAGTCTTCCCTCAACACTAAGGCCCTAGACAAGGGATTGCAGTTACTTACAACATCCCCACTTGAATTGACGCTTATGAGGCACCGCTTTTGCATGACATCATCTTTGCCCCACGGGATCTCATCCTCTCGTATTTTCGCCGGGCACAGAGCGTTACACGTGCAGCTCAGCGCGAACCGGACCTGTGGTGCACGGGCATCTACCGACGTAGTTCGATCTGATAGACGGATCCAGGACCGGATATCACTCCATCAAACAGATGAGTGACCGTCTGTCAAGTACTGATGCAGTAAAGCATGGTTTTGTCAACTTCCTGTTATCCAGCCGCCAAACGGAGAAGCATGGAGCATGTGATCTTGCTGTTGGGGTGTTCTCGATACGCTGACGGAAATGCTTAGTACCTGGAAGAAAGGAGTATCTGCTTCTGACTGGGTTGGTTTCTTCACCAGCAGTGATGTTCATCTACGTGGACGTGACAAATAATGGCACACAGACAAGAATCCATCATCCTGAATGCCTGGGTCACCTGTCCATCTGACCCCAGGACATACTCGTCCTTTCGAAAGCAATCGGTCGATAATGAACTGTAGCGAAGGATGTTCGCGCTTGTATGCAGGGCGAATGGACTTCAGACATGAGCTGCGTTGGTTGGGACATGTTTTACGCATGCCGAACCATCGTTTGCCGAAAAGAGTGCTGTTTTCCATGCCCAACTCAGAGTGGCGCAAACAGAGAGGTGACCAACTCTTGCCTAGGCAGAGGAGTATGAAGGAGATCACGGAACGCTCGGGTGCTGTCAGTGCTACTCGCCTTCCAAGATGGGGACCNTCACTGTGCCTGGTTGGAGACAATACAAGATATCGCTGGCACCCGATGTCAGTGGCGTTCTTGTTGTCAGTTTCTATCCAGATTGCCTGAGTGGATGTCTGGAGTTGTAGGAACCTCGGAATGATTGTGGTAAGCTAGCACCAAGTCCCTTCTTTGTCCACCTTTACTCTTTTCTTTACAATAAGGTTTTCAAATAAATCATGGTTGTACGGCGGTGAATACTGTTGAATACTGATGTCATGCTGTCGATGATGATGACGATGATGAGACATGAGCGAATTAACAAGGGCGTTTCTAAAAGTCCTTGGTGATACTGATCCTGTAGGGTGGGGCCTCAAGGTCCATCTGGAACCTGCCATTTAACATAACATAACATTCAACCGAAATATGGTTAGAGTCAGGAATTGGTGTCGGTGCGGCTCCCGGTAACCCGTATCCCCACAGATGTTGCCATCTAGGCTTACGCAGAAGTCCACCAGATGAATATTCCAAAAAAATGACCTGACAGAATTCTTCTCAAATCCAGTTTGAGGTCATCACGTACGCTTAGAAGTGTTTACTGATATCGAATGGAGAAAATATTTTGTTTCGAGACTGAGACAATAAAAATCCAATTGAAATCCGGCGTAATGCGGTATCCTTGGAAGCTCATATACTCTTCCTCCAAGGAGCCTGTTGTTCGTAGCCCAAGACTGACCTACCTACTACCCGACGTTACTTATGTAGACGATGGGCCACACTCACTGGTAGTAACACTGAACACATCTCATTTAAAGCTGTGGACTCCCAGTTCTGTTGCCAACATGGAGAGGGACTCACGTTTGTTGCTCTACGCCCTTTCAGATATTACGACGATATTTTTATTTCAATCATCGCCTGGTCGAAACAGAAAGATTTCTTGAAGAAAGAAGAAGCCTTCCATCATGATACTGTTCCCTGTAGATAGTGTGGAATGCAAAATGTAGTCAGGAATTGGAGAAACTCTTGTCAGCAAGCAGTCCAGTGCCTGATCTAGAAACTTTGGACCACGAAACCCGCGCATTTCGAGAGCATACGTCCGAAAACACTGAGCAAAATCAATAATCTATCTCACTGCAAATTTAACTGCCTCCCAAAAGCGGCAAACAGTACCTTTTTGAATGCAGCTCACAGTAGGGCTACAGTGAAATTGACAACCCTGACAAAGTAGCCCGTTCTAACACAGTGCACCTTTAAGTTGCCGATCGCTTGTCCAGTGTTCTACATTCCACGCTAACTTGAGCCGACATAAAATGGAACTGTTTTATCTGTTTTACCCCTAAGTGCTATGTTCAGACTTGCGACGGTTCATCTAACTGTTTCTCATAAGCGCAGCTCTAAGGTCACTAAAGACATTCCCAGTTCAGCTATGAAAACGAAGAGTGAGAGAGGAGAAGAATAAAGAAAATTAGCACTTATCGAAAATGATATCCTGGATATCGATTTTTCTGTTTGAATGATTTTGCTGACAATGCGAAAATGCCGCTCATTGCCCAGGTTGTTAGGGCGAATTCCTTTTCACTCATTTGCGAAATTCCAAATGTCTGTGTTCCATTGGTGACGTTCGAGTGGACACTCTGGATGATGGCAGTTGGTTTGCAAACCCTTCGTTACCACTGAAGAAGATACTATCAAAGATCACCTCACCGTGTCTTGACGATGTCTCCACGAAAATGTTCATCAAACTCGGTGAACAAGCCAACGATGACGAGAAATACACACATTTTCCAATCAGTTTGGTTTCAACGAGAGACTCAACTGAATCTACCCTTTACGATATTCTTCAACTTGTTGTGCTGCACAAAGGCCGTCTGTTGGTGTGATATTCGAGATATCGCAGTATACCTTCATGAAGGAAACTACTCACAATGTTAGTGGGAACGGTTTGACAGGCCATAGCCGGTTTCACCCTTCTTGGGGTTCATCAGGTAGACGCAGTCCCCGAGTTTCCGTCAACCTTATGTTCTACTTGAAGGCCGAAACCGGTCGTGGGCGGTCGAGGAGTTTTCACTAATCTTGCGAGTAGTCTCCTTCATGAAAATATACTGCCATATCTCGAATATCGTGCCAACTGAATCATGAGGCGGCCTGTGTGCAGCACATTCAGTTGTAGAATACCATAAACGAGAGATTCAGTTGAGTCTCTCGTAAAAACCAAATTGATTTGCAAATGAGTGTATTTCTCGAAAACAGTCCAATTTGGGCTCAAGTAGAACATAAGTTTGGCGGAAACTCGGGGACTGTGCCTACCTGATGAGCCCCAAGAAGGGCGAAACCGGTCGTGGGCTGTCGAAGAGTTTTCAGTAACCTTGTGAGTAGTTTCCTTTATGAGAAAAAAGCCAACGATTGTAATCTGATCTAAGTTTCCGATTGTGAGGAACATAGGACATTCAACGTCGAAGACTGTCAGGCATCTACCTAAGAAAGAATGGGATCCTGAAGTCTTATCATGACGAATTATTGAAAGCTAGCAACAGTAAAAAGCCCCCAAAAGATTGGCAGTAGTTTTGGTAAAGCAAGTGGTGTAAGGCAAAAAATATTTGAAAAAGCTGAATCGTGAGCACTTGAAAAATGTCCCTCAAATCCCTTGAACAACACCGTACTCAAAAGATGCAATTCTTCAGATAATTTTGATTGCTTTGAGCCAGCACAATGATCCGATCATGCGAATCCGTCACGTGTACAAATCGGTGGTCTATTGATCAATTACCGCTGACCCAGGCGAGTCAGATTAATCGGTGGCCCAGTTGTAAGTGCGTGTGATCATGTGACCAACCTATTTAGTTTGATGTTTGCTGTTAAAAGTACCTGCTTCTCCGGTGCATTTGTTATGAATGACCTCAAAAATAGTTCCCTTCGTTCGCACTCAACATAGTGATTGGGGATAACTGAAAGAAAGTGCAAATTAAACAAGCTACAGACCGCTGTCTGTTGAAAATATCGGTATTCTTGTCAATCTGAGGGTATTTTCCTTGCTGCTGATCAGAACAAATCTCTACTACGGCCTAAAGTTTGTGAACAGCATCAATGAACGAATTGTAATCAGATCCATTCCTTCACACAGATCCTTGTGCCATACACTGAAGGGTCAGGAGCTCAAGCTAAGCCCAAAACACCGGCTCTGGTCTGGTCTAATTCTTGACCAGACCATAAATCACATCAAAGGTAGCTCGAGAGTCACAGAGCTGTTCAATTAATTTGCTGATCGATATTCAACAAATCTCGCCATCATCCGCACCTCCAGCTACGGGCAAGGAACAGACATCAGGTAAAACAAATAGACAGCGTTGATGCCAGCAGTCAGACGCTCATAGGTCCAGCTTGATCCCCAAGGTGCGTTTGTTGACGTTTTTGTTGCTGTAATTTATAAAAACTGTACAACGGGTTTGCCTTCAATCGGATAGAGAACTGGCAAATGAGTTCTTAAGAGCAGTGGCTTCCCAGATCTAACATTTTCCATCAGGTTTGAATGTCAGTGAGCATTACCACAGCGGCCATTGTTCAGCTAACACCCTCTGATCAGCATTTCCCACTACCACTGGTTCAAGGATCGACTCTTAGGTGGTACTATGTTGATAGCAAAAACGATGAGAGCCTTCACTGCAAATGTGATTGTTCCTAACCCTACGACTCGTGTACCTCCGAACGAATGAGCTACCATGCCGCAGCAAAACAGGTTTGAGTTTTCGTGATGGGACACAATACTCATAAGTTTGTCCAAAACGGTTTGAACAGGCTGTTCTACCCTTTTCCCGACCTATCAGGCACCTCTCGACTTTTCATCAACCTTGTGTTCTACTTGGACATCACGTTCTACACAATTGATGAAATACACTCGTTTGAAAAACGAATTGGAGATGACTGGACATTGATCCGAATATCGGCTGAAGCTCATGGTTGAGAGACTCGGCAGATATTCAAATGAGCCTCCCGTGAACACCACACCGCCTTCGGTTTCCAGGTGGATAGTCCTTCTCAATAGATTATTTTCCATCGAGCTTAATGCCTGATGTATACAATGTGATTTTTCCCACGCGTGCAAAATTTCTATTGAGTCGCTTGGTCAGTGTTTTCGAATTCCCAACAACGGGGGCGAGATGGACCAAGTGGTTAGAGTGCGAATTTACTTATCAGAAGGTCCGTCGTTCGAACCCGACCTCTGCCTCTCGACTTCCACTGTCCAGGCTTGGGCAACCTGACAGTATCCCAGGCCTCGTGTCTCCTTCGTGTGGCATGGCAACTAGGCACCGAAAGGGTGCTACAGCTGAACGATGTTTTTTATTCCCAACAACCCAAGTTAGTATAGCTAGTTGTTCCCATTTTTCCTCATCTTTCATAGATTCAAAGTGCTATTAGTGTATCAAACCATTTCACAAACTTTCCGCCGTAAGCAACAGGGCTTTCCGGTCCTGTCTTCAATTGTTTCATGAGTTCAGAGTTAGGAAATCAGTCATCTGGGCCTACGTCGCATTCATCAGCATGTCTTGCTTTTCTGACGTGACATCAGTTGCTGAAAATCAATAGGGTTTCTAGCTGTCTATTCGAAATTGCAGCTGGCTCTAGGTAAGACTGCTGGCGCTGTAAGGTACCGAGAGCATCGATTCGTCTGACGGAGGTCGAACTATCGTGGTAGCGTTCAGTTGATAGGCAGAGTCGTTATCGTATCTGCAAGTCTTTGATTCCATGGTTGAAACTGTTTGCAATGACATGCTCAGGTGTCACACCGATCGAGATTTTCAGAGCCATCGGAAAATGACCTCATTTAATCCACTTTTACCACCCAGTTTCCAATGTCACCTGTCGCTGCGGAATCCATTGACACAAAAATTCATTTAGCTGTATGTATGATATGTTCTGTTCCCACCTATGCAATCTGCTGGTCACGTGCCTGGTTAGCATTAAGTGGGAGTAGCCGTGCACCTGTTTGAAAGTACAGCGTCCAATTGTTGCATGCCACTTATTGAGCGATTTCCCCTTAATGCAACCCGTGATTCACACCAGGATGATAAATGACGACGTGTTTACGGCAAAACGAGCTCCTTTCGACCAGTTATAGGGTGATCTAAACTCCACAGCGTTGAATGATAGCAGGCGGAAAAACGAAAATGTTGGGTCAAACACCAAGTATGCCGCGATGCTTACACAATTTAAAACTGCCCCCCTAGTCCATTGAAGAAGTCCACAAAGTGTACAGATGGACTGGCGGTGATCCTCTCCTTCTGTCACTGCAAATGTTCGAAGCTATACAGCAGCATTTCGACTAAGCATGTACACCCTACGGAATTTTCAGCCACGTATTGCCAACTTTCGGTAAGAAATGGAGTCCTGGTTCATCGTCTTTTCCCTCCGGGTATGCCTCTTTTCCCTTCTCCATTCACACACAACTTCACTCCTCAGACTGGCAAAAAACAGTTTGAAGTGACTTCCGGACGTCACAGTGATCACAAATGATGTCACTGACACCAGTACCAGTGTAGAGCACAGCTATCTCAGTGCTGTCTTATGCTTTCAATGGACTATGGCGGGAGGAAGTTGGAATGTGATCAACTTTGGACCAGCACATATAGATAGTTGAGCTGCATGGACCTCCGAGCATTCAGTCCAACAGTAATGGATGATCTGGTCATCATCGTCATCGGGTTGAAGTTATGTTCGTGGCATAGTCAGCCAATTATAGGGACGGACAGGAGGTCACATTCAAGCGTACATAAAACTGACTGCATACAGGGGTTTCAAATTCCCCTTCGTCCTTTCCTGCTGGACCTTGGCTTGACCACACTTTGATCTGGGCTTTCCATATCCTACAGAGGAAATGGATTATCACAGTAAACGAAGCCTTAGGGTCCATCGAACCCAAGGGGTACAACTTACCGTTGTAATTGCATTCATCACATGTGAAGGACCTGACTATTCCAGTTGAAATCAGTCATCGGTTATCATGAGCACATACTTCGATTAGCTGACCGTGTAAAAGCTTTGAAGAAATAAGTGTTCAGTCGTAGAACCCTTCCGGTGATTAGCTACCGTGCCATCCAAAGGAAGCACGGGGGTTGAGATACTAACAGCTCGTCAAAGTCCAAACAGGGTCAGTTGAGATGAAGATACTATTTGCATACACCCCATCATTTAGCCTCGCTAATAGTTTGCGAAAAATGCACGTCTCAAAGTTCACGTTCGACCGCAGTTTCCATCACTTGCATCTGAGCAAGCTGACGCGCTCTGGAGCCCTAAACCTTCCACACAGAACTTCCATGAAGTTCGGTTTTCGGTGGATCATACCGGCCTATGTTACATTCCCACGACCTGGGCCCAGTACATGGCCACTACAGTACTGGCCAGGTCTTACATCGCATCTTGAGCTCTTACGTATAAAAGGGCTCTGAATGTGTGCTACAAAAGTATCGATCAATGAAGACGCGTTGTTCACTGTTTTGTCAATATGGTTCGGACATGGGTGCAGAGGTACGACGCACCATCTCAATGCAGGTATTCGGTGCGTTGACGAAGAGTAAGGTTTCCGGGAGTCTTGTCGTATCTGATCGATTCATTTCATGTGAAATATGCCCGTACGGTAGCTGCACGTGAGTACACGTCAGGCAGATTACCGGTTACTCACCACGCATCTACAAGCCCCCGTTAGGACGAGGTTGCCTAAGTGGGACGTGTGTCCGTACAACCAGAAAATTTGTCGTGTATCGCCATAGCGACCTGGTGGTTTTTGGCTGCTATCAAAGCCTAAGTACGTTGTAAGCCAGACCGACGTGTCTTACAGGTGTTATCATTATATTATTCTGTAGTGCGGCGTGGTGTATGGCGGACTTACAAACTCACATATCACGCATTGTGTGGCGCAACTTCAGCGGCTGTTGGTTTGCTTCTGTTATCAACCTCGCTTATTTCACCACATCATCCTGTCTGGGCTCAAACCAATCAACCAATAGCGTGACTGGCTGACCTCAGGTTCAACCCGCGCATTTGTGACCGACATTCCCTGACCAATAGAATAACTCCTTGAAGGTTGACCGCAGAACGATAGATGCCGATCAATAGTCACTTCTTCTGTTCTCTGCTCCTGACGAAGATCACTCACGGTGGCGGGAAAGTTGAGTTACTGAGAAAATTCTGAAATTATTGCTGTTTGCCGTCATTAAACACCGCACATTTGCGATACCTACCCATGGCTAATTGAATTGCCTTGTTCAAGCTCTGACAGCAGCAACCGATTCAAATTAACCATCGATCGACTTATCTCGAGAACCACTTCACTCACGATCGATAACCGGACAGACGTGACCATGACACGTCAAGTTACTATCTTAATCTTATCCACCACTGATGGGAAGACATCTCTTCCACAACTTCCCGGCAATGTGTTTTGGTTGAGAAAGTGTTTCTTACGCTCATTTTGGATGATATCAGCGCAAGTTTGTACATTTCACAACAACGGTTTATAAGTACTGCCTAGCGAGCTATCTTTGCCTAAACCTCTATTGAGTTAAATGATTTCAAGTCGACTGGAATGAAGACACGTAAAAAGTAACAGGTGGCCCTGGTAATGTTGTACACAATACACACACTCGCATAATCTCGTATGCTTACGTTGCAGACGATCGATGGTAGCGCTGAAATGCAGTCGCTATACACACTGTGGTTCCGTTTGCTGGTTCAGATTGATTAAATACCTGGGTAAAGTAAGCACACAGATGAGACGCTGATGCACGATTACCTGTGAAACGCCAAAAAACGATGTATTCTTTCTCAAGCCTGACTCGGCTTGATTTGTCCGACAAGTGTGGCAAAATTTTTAGTTAGTTTCATCCTTGCTTGTTTTGAAAGGCCCTTCTCTATTCCCAAAGTTCGAATGAATGCAAAGTTTCGCTTTCAGGCAAGCGAAGTGGTATGATTGCACCCAGACGAGGACGAGAACGTGGAAATGGAGATGAGTTAAATACGATCTCAGAAAGCCTGTCCCTTCAAAAGACAGTCAGCACTGGATCACGTGATGTGAAAGGTGTGCTTAGGAGAACGTTGGTTCTACACCCGTGCGAGGCAATAAAACTGTTAATCAGTTAGTTACTTGTGCCTGAATGACCAAAAGTGCAAACTGCTATCCAGACGATTGCATGTTCAAATCTCTGTCAAGGTTAACAAGGTGGACGTTGCTGAATTAACCATACGATTCTTTTGGGCTTGTTGGCATAGGTTTATTTCACATGAAAAAACCAGCTCCGGAATTTTGAAATCCATTCACTGATCCACGGGGCTTCAGGCAATTTGCGCTGTATTCGTCGCCGTTTCAATTTCTCCGCACCTTCATCCTCCTTGCTAGCATTTCACATTAGCGTTAGCTTTCTGATTGTATTTTGAAGACTGACAACAAAAAGGAATAATCCTCATGGAGAGGGAATATCACATAGTCTCTCCTCATCCACCCCACATTCTCCCTTCGGAGTGGATTTTCGCATTAAATCGCTGACAAGGGATCCTGGAATGGCTCTCGCTTCTTTTCCGTCTTCTTCCGCCGTTTCCTCTCAAAAGCTATTTTCGTATTGTAGTTGGATGGCTTTTTCAGCGTCCCCCTGACATTATTGTATCTATTTGGGTACATACCAAAGAACAGTATCGGATAAACTGAGAGAACATGTTTGTCTAGCTGTAACACACTACTCATAAGGTTGCTGACAACCTTTGAACAACCCACGACTGCTTGTCTTTGAGTTTTGTCTGGATACGTGGCCGGGTAGCCAGGGGCCAAACACGGTAACCGAGACTGATAATGACTTATTAACGTATGGGAAATTTAACCACAAGGAGCGGGATTCTGAATTTTAAATTCAGAAAAAAGCGTTTGTTTTCGAGGCTGAACAGTCCGATTCCCTCTTCAGCCGAGGTACGCCGTGGTTCTTTGCAAATTCCTGTGGATATCCAGTCGAATAAAACATCTCATTGACATCCTTGAGTTCTGTCCGAATGACATCCTCCATACGGGGCGAGATGGCTCAAGTGGTCAGAGCGCGAATTTACTGACCGGAATGTCCATGGTTCGAACCCGACCTCTGCCTCTCGACTTCCCCTGTCTAGGCTTGGGCAACCTGGCAGTATCCCAGCCCTCGTTCCTACTTCGGGTGGCATGACAGCCAGGCACCAGAAGGATGTTACAGCATCCTCCATACAGTTCTTCCTTGCCCTCACATATGGCTTCAAGCCCATTTTGTGGTGCATCGGTATGAAAACCAGAGAAATGTAGGTACCGACCAGTCCAACTGTCTCCAGTGCACTGATCTACAAAGCGCTCCGTCATCTCGGGGAGTTAGTCAGATATTCCCCTCACTCTAGATCTTTAATTTGCTACCTGGATGAGTGGTGTTCAGTTCCATTGATCCCCGCATCGGATACGTGATCATTAGTGGGACAACTACATATCCTTCGTAAAAATTTGTCCTTCCAGTAGGATCTTCCACTCGCATTCCTATGCTGGCAATGAATGTTAGCTAAGTCAGAACCAGTTGGGTTTGTACTGTTGATCTGGGAAGCTGAAATTAACATTAACGAGTTCTCATAAACGGTTGAAAATCAGTGTGAACTTCGGAGGTTAGCCTGATTCTGTCGGAAGATGACAGCATATTAAAGAAGCCAAATACCACCCTGCTCGAATTGAAGCTGATTTGAGCAACATTCATCCGATCGGTGAAGCTGCTCGGGCGAAGTCTAGCCAGCAGAAGACCCAGTGAATGAACAAAACGGTGCATTTTTTCGTTTTCCATGCCCGAAGTCTGAGCCTGAGACTCATCGATCACAGTTCTATGGTCACTAGATCGATTCAACGGGAGGTTAACACGTTGATCAGTAAAGCCCAAGTTATGACTCAAAGCCCACGTGGTTCAACAAAGTGGTTGAGAAATAGGTATCTCCAAGTGTTTCTGCATGGAACCTTTTCTCACTGTGTTATCCTGAACTAGGGCAAGTGTGCATGGCGAGCTTATTCAACTTCTCCATAAAGGTTCATTGGTTGTTGATCACGTGACTGTTGATCTGTTCGCCGAGCTTAGCGATTGACTTGCAAGCGTTTCGTCACCATAATCAGTACGCAGTTGGGTGGTTTCATAAAAAAGACTGCAGTTACCAGACTCGGGAGCACTTGCGGTTGTGGACTACTAGTTGACCTTCAAGCAAATGGGCCTTCAACGGTGGCCATATTTCCATCAATAAAGATGATTTCTCATGGTTACGTAACAGTTGTACGGACAGGGGCAACTTCTTTCCAACCGGTTTCCTGGTTAAGCTCAACTGGAAACATGACGAACTGGACACGCTGAGTGAGTGTGATGATTGTGTGAATCGAATTACCCTCGTGTCAAGTGATCTCTACTTCCCAGCTGAGCTGAACGCACCTTGGTTAACCAGACCAAAGAACTGAGTGCCTGGGAATCTGAGCTGGTGAGTCCGTGGAAAGCCAATATACCGTGCTATGAAGTATCTCAGTCATTGGACATGACATATCCATGAAGATACTAAAGAAATGCTTCGATATGAAAGTGGTGGCTAACTGTCAAGCGATCAAACAGCTGTGGACCCTCAGAATATGCTGCTCTCATGTACGCATCTGTTACAAAAACGTGTCTGCATGTGTGCAGGTCGGGGACTTCGTCCCACCTGGTCGGTTCGCAATACACGGTGCCTTTACAGTATTTCCGATATCATACACACAACTCGTTTAGTTTTACGTGGATAAAAAAAGCTAACGCAGTTCGACTGAGAAAGCCAGTAAGCTGATGTCCAACAGTACACCCACTGCAACCTCGTCAACTATCTCACCGTAGCGATCACACTAATGATGACAGAGCGGCCCAAAAAACGATATCAGGCTGTCTTCTCATCGTCCCTGGTGATCACGAGAGAAAATTGACAAGGTAATCGTAAATTAGAAGTAAAGAAATGTAAGTACCCCCAGGGAACATCAAGGATTTATATTGTTCCACACTACGGAAAGCAATGATCGCTTTTGTCGACCTGTAAAAGGTTACTCTTAAAGGCTTCTTTGAAAACAACAGGATTCCAACTTTTGAGCTAAGCGGTTTTGAAGGAACCAGCACCCTCTGTTCCACCCTTCTGTGGCGACTCTTAGTCAGGTCTTTGGTGCCTTTCACTTGGCGCTTTGGTTGGATGGAACCACTATCCCCTGGGGTGAAATAAATGACTGCCTGTTCGGCACACTAAACCTGGCGTGTAAACCATAAAATTTGATTCGTTTCCCAGGGCAATTGACCTTATATTTAATTTATCTACATTTACTCAATTTCTGACAGATTACTTCTATCCTGCGAAAAAAACTCAATATTGGGATTAGTAACATTCGCTAATTATTCGGCAATTGACCTTGCAGGATATTTATCTACATTTACTCAATTTCTGACAGATTACTTCTATCCTGCGAAAAAAACTCAATATTGGGATTAGTAACATTCGTCTTTCTAATTATTCCAACAAACTAACTGAGTTAGTAAGCTTCGTTATAGGTTTCTTGAAGCAATTATGGTCATATCAGAGTCCGCCTTATCTTTACCCCTGACCTACAAAGGTGATTTAGGCATTTTTTCTCCAAGAGACAGTGCATTTTCCAATCGATCCAGTCCACGTTGACCATGCTGTTACCCAGTTTATTTCTTTGAGTTGCAAGATTAATGTGAAATGTTAACATCTGGTAGCTCTTGTCCCCGATCCCTTCGATGAGTTTGGTTAACCGAACCCGATGTCACATTGCTCAAGGGAGTTAAAAACCTTTCACATCTCAAGGGTTGGAACCAATGATGGCAATATGGTCCGCACACTCTGTGTCTGAGTGCGAACGCCTTGCATGAGTACCTCGATTCCTGAGGTTTCAAAGGCAGGGGAGAAATTTCAACTAGCACATCAATAGTGAGAGAGAGAGTATAGCCTTGTCTCACACCACTTGATGTGGTGAAGTCAAGCGAACGCTTGTCGTTTACACGCCCACGCCGACGAGAGTTCGCGTTCATGAAGGACACCAAACACCGTCAAAACTTCTGAAGACCGACAGAGTCGAGAGCACTCTTCAGATCTGAAAGGGAAGGTGGTTCACACCTCTCACATCATCCAGTGGCAGACAACAACAATACAATCGTGCCTAGCTGCCATGCTACCCGAAGGAAGCATGAGAGCTGGGATACTGCCAGGTTGCCCAGGCCTAGACAGGGGAAGTCGAGAAGCAGAGGTAGGGTTCGAACCAGTGGCAGTTTCTGTTCCGTCTGGTTTAGGTAGTGGACAGATCAAATTTAGGCCTTGTTCTCTATCTAACTGAGATCCCTTAGAATATGCTTGCATAGTGAATGTACATATATCTCAGTATCTGTTCCCAAAAGTGAGTTGGCGGCTTTTTTGTAACAGGAATTGACACTTGAGATATCCGCTCATTAAAAGTACGACGAAGTGATGGATAGAAGCTCTGTGAGGCAAGAATTTTGGAGAATAGAACGAAATCTCCGACACTTGAGATATCCGCTCATTAAAAGTACGACGAAGTGATGGATAGAAGCTCTGTGAGGCAAGAATTTTGGAGAATAGCATCGAAATCTCCTGTCACGTGACGTCACGGCAAAAAATAGTTTAATCATTTCGCTTTTCACCTTCTAGGGTGTATACACGAATTTGCAGCCTCATTCATTTTGATTTCAGGTGAGCGGTTACCTCACTGAGAATCTGTCGAATCTACAAAGGTTGTGGCGGTCCACTCCACGCTGCTGAGTAAAAACTTTCACCATATCACATGTATACATGAATCCTCTGAATACTGTGAAACAGCCATGCGACACACGTTGACCGCACGGCCGATAGGAGTCCCTCTGGAAGGTCAGTGCAATGAACATCGTCCCGATTTCATAACCCATCAAATTAATGCACATCAGAATCTGTCACGTGACGCTTTGAGTGCCGATAGCACAAATTCAAGCAAACTACGCTTGCACACACAGCAGCTATGAACTGAGATAACTTCATGTTTTTGCTCATACGATGCGTCGGCTGGGAAATTCGATTAGGTATGGTTATTCCAAAGTCGTTGGGTTCTTCGTTAAAGAGATGAAAAATACCACACAATTGGAGTTGGAACAATGTTACAATGTTTCTCCTCTAGAGTGGCCGCCCCAGGGGAAAACGGTCACTCTGAGTGGATAGTCACTGTGAAGTAGTTCTATGCCAAACAACCTATTGTCGAATTAAAGCTTCCACTCGGGAAATAAGCCTAGCTGATGAGCCCCAAGAAGGGCGAAACCGGTCATGGGCTGTCGACAAATTTTCAGCAACCTTATGAGTAGTGCATTACGAATAAACATGTATTGTGATATCTCGAATATCGTAGCGACTGAAATATGAGGCGGCTTGGTTCAACACATTCAGTTGTCTGGAAACATCACAAACGAGAGATTCGGCTGGGTCTCTAAAAACCAAATTAGTTTGCAAATGTGTGTTTGGCTAAAGCTTCCACCGTTATAATGCCAAAGCAAAGGAAGCTGTCACATCTTCCGTCGTTGCCTCTCAGTTTTTGTCCAATTTCCAAGTTCTTGGGGCTGTTAGATCACACTGAGTATCCATCATCTCTACCAATAAGCCTATCACTGTTCACTATGATTATTTTAAGTTTTCTGTTTACTTGAAATGCCTTTGATGCTCAAGCTTTTTATTCTACACAAGCTTCTCCACTTTGTAGACGGAGCTCCCACGTTCAGTCTCGGGATCATCCAAACATTCGTGAATAGCTGGCGAGATGGCCCAAGTGGATGGAGCGCGAATTTACTGACCGGAAGGTCCGTGATTCGAACCCGATCTCTACCTCTTGACTTCCCCTGTCCAGGCTTAGGAAATCTGGCAGTATCCCAGCTCTCGTGCAACCTTCGGTGGCGTAGAATCACCTTCCTCTACCTTAGTGGTAGTCACATCCATTCAAGTGTTTGGAGGAATAGAGATGGCGCATCTTTTGAAACGTAGTACACCGATTAGGGCTTAAGCTGCATCCCAAGATGGACGTGGTAGGTATTCCGCATAATTCGTCGGGCAAATGTGACCTTAGCAACTGGTAGTAATGCGTGGAAGATCCTCTTACCTACCTTTGTGCATTCTGATACAATGTGTCAACAGAAACGTTTATTTTAGAAACAGGGAGAAACAAATCTTCGGTCTTTTTGTCTGAATAACTGCGAAACCCACCAGTTGCAGACAAGATGATGCATTTGGTGACACAAAGGACCAGCTCAGCTGATCTATCTATTTGGCCGGTACTCCAGCCCTTATGTGGGTTCGTTAGCCAGACAAGGTCATCTAAGTCTTCCGACCAGCTGAGTATCCTATTTCCGGAATGATATAACTTCGTCTTCTAAAATACAACTGTGACGGAATTATTGTCCCATTCCGTAATCTAGTACAGAATACCAAACATCATTGCATTTATCTCCTTCCAAACGAGATATTGCTCCCGAATTACATGAAGAAACAGCCTGGTTTCGTCAAAAATATCTAGTCATCTACCAAAGCTATAGTTGTTGCATTTGATAAATTAAGGATGAATCACACTGCTCACTGGGTGGAGGGAGGGGCACAGTGAAGAATTCGCTGCTAACTAACTGCTGTAAGAGGTAATGAACTAATCTTTTCAACGCGATAGAATCTATCTATTCCTGAGAAAAAACCTTCATTGCCAGTGGGATGGTCCGTGTGAGGATGGATACTTGTACGGAGCGTGTAGTATGGTGATGTTCACATGGTGTGTTCAGCCTTGAAAAAACGATCAGCTGTCTGTCTCGTCCTGGTTGGACCCCAATCGGATGGGTGCGCTGAGATCGGTTATGTGAACTTTAGGTTTTACATCACTGACCACCAAATCACGTGGCTTTAATCACACCCGCACGACAATTCCTGTCTTGCTGAACTTAAACGCGTTAATCTGGTTTACTTGTGCGGAACGACTCTCTCTAACGTATCTTGACCTTTCCGTCTCACAACTATGGATAGGTAGTTAGCTGAACACACCAAGCATGGGCACAACTGTTACGTAGCTTGGCGAACGATTTAGACCAAAACATATCATATTGATTTACTTCATTCTGACAGGCCCTACCTCCAACCAGTTAATTATAATGGAGGTATTGACTGCGTCACAATGCTCACCTAGCAACCGAAAAAATAAAAAAATATGCTCACGGTGCGTCTGAGATTAAACCTCCCTGTTGACGTTACTACGACAACGGTATGTGGGAATCAGGACAGTGTACCATAGCTTAACAATTTTACGTTCTATTTATTCATTGTAATGTCAGGGGAATCAATACATACACGTATGATTACGATTAGTGGGTGAACGGACGAGAACAGTGATGAATTTGGTAACTTCACATGGCATTGTTCGTGAGTTTAATTGAAACCAAATCCAACTGGATTGATAAGGCTAATAACCACAAGTGAATTCAACCAACGAAAGCCAGCAACAGCTGGAGGGACCACATTTGTCACTTGTCGGTTTGAAGGTGAGTGGATGGATCGATAGACGTAACTTAATTGATATGGATCAGGCAGTCTGAAAATTTGCATAATCAATCAGACAAATCAGTATTGTTGAATGACAGAGCCAAACAATGCATATAGTCACTTGGCCACTGAGACGCACATGCCAGTGGATAGCACATTGTGCGCACATGTAGATCGATATTTGGACGGTCATGTGACCTATTTATTTAAACCGCACCGCGGTTTCGTCATGTCGCGCCTTTTGGAGGCACACTCAAACTGGCCCACTGTAGGCTTCGATCGATTATTCTCCAAGAGTTTTCTGTTCGTGTCGTTTAACTTCACATCGCAGGGACGAACAATGTAAATAATGCTTTGAGAGACTCAAAAAGTACAACATATCAGCATGGAATCAACCAACATCCAGAGCACATAGTAAAAACCTGACTGGATGAGCGGTAAAAGTGCCAGGTTTTGAAGATTTAGAGTAAATCAGACAGCAAGCAATCTGAGGAGTGCAGCTCTCTTCATCATATCACGAGAGGGTATAAATCAGGAGACCTCATGAGGCAAAATGAATCAAGTAGTAGCGTGAATCAACAAAAAATCAATAGATAGAGATAACTGTTTGTTTCCGTGGCACTACTCCGAAGATTTACGGACGTATTTAGCTCTTCTTTAGCTAGATTGCGTTTCTATTTTTTGCTTGTCTTGTTAGATACAACTAGTTATTCTCAAACGACTCTTCCAGCCAGTCTTATCGTGTCTTCCATGCAACGCAATTTGCTATCCATTGACAAAAAGACCGTCAGCTAAATGAGAACGAATATGTCAACGTATGGGAGTACAGTCTGTTCAAGTCAAATGTATGACTGGAATCTGTGAAACCGTTATATCACACTAGCATTGCTGGCGTCACAAGTTGTTCCGGGGGGGGGGGGGGTCTGTGAAACCGTTATATCACACAGAGCATTGCTGCGTCACAAGTTGTTCCGGGGGGGGGTGGGAGAACAACCCAAATCTTGTATCCGTCAAGTGGTGTGATACATCAAACTTTTCGCACGATATATCGGAGAATATAGTCAGGCTACTATTAACAATTTACGAAAATAGCGGTTTCTAGGTAAGGTAACCATGGCACCAGTCGTTCTGGATTTAGACTAGACAGGTGAGTGAAAATGGACAAACACTGATCCCTAGCTTACCCGTATCATAGCTCTTCTCTGCTTGAGGATAGTACACGATTCCAGGTTTGTGCAACGGTAGCTTGACTTATGACTGCTTGGTGTTTCATGCTGAAACTAGCTTCATTAAAGTCTCATGGTGACCGATTCATTGAATTCACCCGGATTAGTACCACAACTTGCAATCGTCACGGCGCCTTCGGGCTCGGAACGGAACTCCATCATTTTGCTACTGAAATAAATAAACCTGATCTGGCAAAATGCACTTAGTTACCGGTGAACTAGGTGTCTAACAGGAGATTCAAGTGAATGCCAGCCGTTTACAGCAACTTAATTTGCAAATCGGTGTAGTTGACTGATAGTCTGGTCAATGGTGCCCAAACGGAACATGGAGTTCGACGGGAACACAGAGACTTCGCCTATTTGGCAAGCCTTAAGAAGGAAGCCCCATGGGCTGTCGACGGGTTTTCAGCGGGCTTGTGGGTAGTGTGTTCCATCAAGGAACCTCTATATGAATTTACTCTCTTCAAACAGCTCAATACAGCCGACGTTTTCGCTAGCCGTTTTGTTTCGATGCGATTTGAAGGCAAGTATAATGAAAAACGAACGGAATGACTTATGC